TTGGCACATGTTCTCTCACTCACTCACTCACTCACTCGCTCAATTCAGTGGCGTATAACGTAAAATATACATCACATAGCGCATGCTAACCAATTCTCGACAGGTCTGCACAACTGCACAACTTTTCTTGGCATGAAAATTAAAATGTACAGAAATCGGAAGAGAAACAAACCAAATCAATCAATAGTCAATTTTCCATTGGAACAACACGACACACTGAATTCCTACGAAATGCACCTTCAACATCATCAATTAGGAATGAAGACGGAATTGACAGACGGTCCCACTTCACACTTAATTTTCCAACGAACACATGCACCAGCATCACCAGCAGTACCGTATTTCTTTCTTCGCTTCCCAACAGCATGCCGTTTGTGCCCATATTAAACGTACCTATTCAATATCAGACGGTTGTAAAATATTATGCGAACATTTGTCACAAACAAAATTCATATTCGCGCATTTTATTCTCGCTTTTGCACAAACGACGACGGTAGCAGCGAGACGGACTTCATATTCGTAACTTAAGCATAAATGAAAAGCAGGGCCGTTTGTCAAAAGAACACGTTATGTCATTCGTTGAGCAGAAATTCCGCATCGCCATCACACACATGCTGCATCTGTGTGTGTGTGTGCTGATTTGATAGATGAGTGCCGATACGGAGCATATTGCAGTTGTAGGAAGTTTTCAATCCGCTCTCGACGATACACACAAAAGGGTACAGTGCACAACACACAAGTTTATTTGTTCTGGAGAGTGTTTTTTTCTCTCTTTCTCTCTCTCTATCTCTCTCTTCCTCCCTCTCTCGCTCTCTGTGTGTTGCACATTCCTGTTCGGTTGGCAGTTGACATCCGTCTCGCCTTAACACAGTCTATGCTTGTGATATGAGAATTAGCTTGTGTCAAGTGTGTGAATGAAATTGTCGCATTACTGACAACCGAAACATTTAAAGTTTATTCGTACAATAGGTATATTGTGGTCTCTCATGCATTCTTTATCAATGACGCGGCAGCACAAACATCATCACCACCACCACTGCCGTCACCGCTGCTCCCGAATTCCGAATACAATTGCGAGAGCAATATGACTACTGATGTTTTATCGCCTCGTTCAAAGTCAATTCGCTTAATGCACACAATCCTATTATTTTATTGCCAACATTATTGTCACATAGATAAATTCATCACTTTGTTTCGCCAACAAATTGCAAATGCAGCTCTCTCGGAACAGCGTGGGCCTTCGAGGACGATCTCTCGCTCATATATGCCGAATGGCCATAACAAACAAACAAACGAACAGCATAAAAAAAGTGGACCGAAAATGGGACAATTTTCGATGTAGCATAAAATTTATGGGAAAATAACGAAACACATGGAACGGGCGCATGGAATTTTCGGTTGAGTCCGGACGTTTTGAATGGCCGTGAACATTGAACATACCACCACTAGATCATATCCGCGCACACCAAAATACCATAAATAATAATCTAATTGAATGTGAAAGCGAGTTTTGTGCACACGTGAATTGTTTGCTCGGCGCACATTTTATATATTCCATTTTCTGAGGACGGTGTGGCTGAAGTTGGTGTATTTTGCGTGCGTATAAGTGATTCAGCAACCTCCAGTTGCATGTCATTTCGATGAAATGCGATTGCACTCTCTCATGTGTATGTGTGTGGTTGTCTATGTGTGTGTTGCACAATTTTCCATTCCCGAAACGGAAATGAAGCAAATAAATTTTGCGCCATAATAATAATGATTGTTCTAAAATTTATTTAATGTCTTCCGGAATATATGAATCACTGAATACCACTATCTACTCGAAAATCACTTCCAAAGTATCAAGCGCATGGGGTTGAATTAGCCAAACCATCTCGAAATATACAAACCTTGAACATCCTATCATCGTTCAGCAGTTCAAGCGTTTTTTTGTTGTTGTTTTGTTGTTGCTTGTGATGAAGGTGGCACTGTCAACAGCTGGAAAATCATTCCCACCGAATGAATGTATTCCTTTTTTTGCTCAGCAGAGAGAGAGAGAGAGAGAGAGAGAGAGAAGCAAACAATGGTGACGATCGTAGTATAAGAACAAATCGCATTGCTTTAGCTAAAACATAGCAAACACAAATGATACCCACAAAACCGAGGAAAAAACAATGATTTTGGATGCCTTTGTATATTACAAAATGCCAAACAAATAGAATCGCGTCGAAATAATAAAGATAAAAAATGTATTTGGTTTTTCTTTGTCGTACCCACCCACACCTGAGCAAACGATTGCGGAGTTTGTGATATTGCTTAAATTAAATTAGAAATGATAAGCACCGTCCCAAGCTGTATACAGATAACAACAGAAGCGAAAGATGAAATTGTGGCAACGCAAACGATTTTTCGGTAAGACGTTGAAATTCAAATGAAAGAAGAAGCAGAAAAAAAATCGAAGCAAATATCAAATATACACGTATGCATTATTCAGCGGACGTGTGTACTACAGCGAGAAGTGGCTATGGAAAACATTTGAATATAAATTTAACCGGTAAACACTGTGGTTCGAGTGTAATCTGAAGAAAAAAGCCGTCGCAACCCGTCTCCAAGATTTCTTATTGTACCCAAAAATTAATCGAAGGGCACTCTTATTCTGATAATCAGAATCTGATTTTAAGGAAAATCATACTGTTGTAGGCAGTGAGATAGTATTCAAAAGGATAAAACAGTTAAAATTGGTGATTCTTATAATCAAAATATATTTTTGTTGTGAATTCAAATCGAGGGTTGACTTGTAAAATTTTGATAAGTTACAGCTGTGATCCCATCGAAATATAGAGGTGAAATATTGTTAATACGAATGGGTGTGAGTACCAGTATATATAAATTTCGTAAAATTCTGATAGACAAAGTCCAGAACACCGAATCAAAATAACAAATAAGTTCCGGAAAATATTTGTTAACACTTCGATATTGGATTTCATTTAATATTTTGGCGTTCAAACCGAGCATATCTCATTGAGATTGAATGATACAACTTACATACAACACGTTTTCGAGCAAATCTCGATGAAAAACAAATCGAAGTTTTGGTTTTCATTTTTTTTCTCGCTGCTTTGGAATTCAATCGATTGAAGCATCGCACACGCACGATCTCTAATCTATTCAGGATAAAACGAAATACAAATTGTGAAATCCTGTAGATTATCGTTATTCATAGTCGAACTCCGATGGATGTTCGGTCCAAAGTTTTCGATACAGTTTTTCTTTTTCCTCCATGTGTTCGTTTCACTTTCTTCACACTTGAAAAAAGTTTTGTTGATGTTCTCTATGATGTTAAACGTTATCAAGTTCATCAGAATTTCTCTTGTTATCGGTTGCAGTGACGAGTCCTATAGTTGAATTTTAGTTCGAAACCTTCGAAATTTACCCTTTTCCTTTTATAGCGCACGGGCTTTGCTCCTCGTTTGTTATGCATAAAACGTTCCCAGTCGGCTGTTTGTGCGAATATGTAGTGGATGCGCCTGACTCTCAACAACCTGTATGAACGCGTACAGTGCGAACGGTTGAACGGCAGCAAATAAAAAGTGAAAATATATGAAACCAGCGAGTGTTTGAATAGTAAAATAGTCAAACGTAAACGAGAAAAAAAGTAACTTGAAGCACAGAAGAAGAAGAAGAAGAAGAAGAGGAAAGAAAAACGAAGAAAATTGCATGAAATAAAGAGAAAAGGTTGCGATGTCTATTTTTAGGACGATTTGTTCTGGTATCATCTTCATGTTATTGCTGCCGTTGTTATTAAAAGTTAGAAGACATCGGATTTTATTTAGTGCTCTCCCTCTCTCCCCATCTCTCTGTTTCTCTCTTTCCCTTTTTAAATAGTTTCTATCTCCACCACTTACGTTATTCAAAAGGTGGAAGGTACACACTACACATCATCGACGTTTAACTTGATCAAAGTGGAATTTATATTTTTTTTGGTGAAATGTGCTGCATATTTTCCCATTTTATCGGTAATATACGGATGTGATATGAATTTGTGTTCCGTTAGCGCGATGGCTCTGCTGAATCAGCAGCAACATCCAGCAGCATATCGGCTCAGTGAAACCGTTTTCATTTCGGTGCGTTTTTATGCATGGAACATGTTGCCAGCGTCAAAGCGGTTGTTAATCTGATTTGATCGAAATCATACGTGTATCGGCTCTCTATCTGCCTACTGTATAGATGCTCAATTTATTCACAAATAAAAGTTTTTTTTCTGGTCTTAAATCGAACCAATATCACGTTACATGCTTATCACCGAATGTAAACAGGAAATTTATTTATTTACTACTTTCTACCGTGACCAAAGTGCTCGCATGTCTTTGGATTTTGTTTCCCTCATCTCGGTTCCGTTCGATCGAATGTCAACCAAACGACGACGACAAAACGGTTCACTTCAAATCGACTACTTGAAATTCAGAAACAAGTGTTTGAATTTAATTTGTCCATAAATAGTGTAACACACGGCAAGATCATGTCGGCTCAATATTATGAACCAACAACTACATTTCAGTTTAAAATTATGAGCGGTGCCACCGTATCCTCCCTCGTCTATCGGCATAGCATTGACAAGATTTTTTTTGCAGCTATATAAAAAGGGTTTACCTTGACTACGCCATTCATATATGTGTAATGTATATTCATTGCGGTGACATTTGTGGAATCGCCTCATTTTAAATGCATGAAGTAACAAAAAAATCGCCTATATTGCATGCAGGGCTTACTTTTTTCTCGGTAAACGGCAGTGACTTTCTTATCTACGCAATAAATTTGGAAATTATGATGCAAGTAGAGTTAATATCAGTGAACTTCATTGCAATCTCATTTGAATACATATAGCAAAAGCGAGTGATCTACATTTAGATTCATTTTTTTTCTATCAATATCTGACTATTTTTCTAAATATTTTCGAAACTCCATCAGAACATGTTCATTTCATTTAATAAAATTTTTCTTTCTTTTCCAATTCATTTCAGATTCGTACGAAAGAAGAAACATTTCGCACTTTTAACAACGTTTAGACAAAACAATTAATTCGGACTGAGCACCGATTGATTCAGTTTGAGGTTTCGGCACCATTTTATGTATCAATCATGCGGTCGAAACAACAGCCACGACCTTCTTATCGCTGGCTAAATAAAAATGAAAATGGTAAGTTGTTTTTTTTTCGATTGATCATTGAGTGTTGTTTCGAATTTCATAATTCTAATTAATTGGAATAAGAATTGATTCGATGACCAATCTTATTCGCCATATTATTCTGTTGTAATGCAGAAAGAGCATAGGAAATGAAAACTAAAAGAATTTTAAACCCTTTCAATGTAATGTATTTATTACCGTTATGCCGTTGTTCAATCAATTGCGATTGAATGACTTGTGTGATATCTTTATGGGATGGCTACAACAAAAATCGACTGTCTAACGAATCTAAATCGTGTTTTTTTAATGATAAATCCGTACACGGAAACATCTAAAGTAATCACAATAACTCAATAAATTATGAATATTTGTGGTGGTGTTGATTGGTCGCATTCCATCGTCAAGTCCAACGCATCGAATTGCGTTTCAATCATAATAATTATGAGTAGAGGAGACAGAATGACCACAAGCAGCGGACGACATGAATATGATCATCTGCGCCAGCGACCAATAATAATTTATCGAAATTGAAGCTTGAGCTAGAGAGATAGCAAGAGAAACGATCAAACATATGCATGCCCCTAACTGCGTAGGCATTTTCTTCATTTTTGTCTCCCCGATAACTTTAATGGTTATTTCATTTTCTTTGCGTATTCTCGTCATCCTTGTCATCATCGCTGTTGCGTTCACATTCTTCTTCGTTTTGAATGATGCATTTAAATTGTTCTATGTGTGATGATGATGAAGAAAAATAAACACACCGCTAAATCTTTGATTTTACTTAAGCAATACGCATAAGTTATGATTATTTGTTGGCCGTTTGTTTTACGTTCTCAGACTTCATTTTGAGTGTTGGATGCGAGGAGAGAGAGAAAGAGAGAGAAAGAGAGAGAGAGAGAGAGAGAGAGAGAGAGAGAGAAAATGGATTCTCGGTATACGCTCGCACACCTAATTGAATGTTTAATTTCTGGTTGTATCGATGCTTGCGGTGGCTTTTATGGCCATTCACGACATTTTCTTGGTCGATGCAGATCAATGAACGCGATACCAATAAAATGTATTGACGCTAAAATGTCAATTATTATAATTTCGTGTCTTTCTGATTCGTGTTTTGCGGCGAGCGCGAGCGCACTCTTGGGTTCGTGTGTGTGTGTGTGTGTGTGTGTGTACGGCCAGTTGAATGATCGCATGCAGTGCACGAATAACCGTCGTCAGTCATTTTGTTACTCTCTTCCATTTTAATCAAATCGCTGTGACAAGCGAGCGAGCGAAAAAAAGCACAACGTGCATTGAAACTTTTGCAATTTTAATTTTCTTCCATAAGGAGCCGAATGTATGAAATAGCTGCAAATAAAAATGACCAACATCTGAACATATTTCATTGGTGCGCGCGATCCGCTTCGCTCCGTTCAAGTTTGATTTCTTTTCGCCTTCTTCTGTTCGCTTAATGACAGGCCATTTATTAAGTTTTGTGTGGTGCGTGCGCGCACCCAATGACAGCACAAACACTGTAAAATAAACGTCCATTTCAAAAAGTCGAATTACCAGTCAAGTTATTGATTAACACATCTCTCTATGCACTAGGACATAGTGCGAATGAAGCATTCAATTCCGAAAACAGAAAAAAAGAAAGAAAAATACAAACGAAATACTTCGAAATAAAACGATATTTATTTGCACTTTTCAGTTAATTGATAATCGTCATATCCTGCTTGCATGACGTTCATACAAAACATAGCCGAACACAAATCAAGCGAATCAAGAAGTTGACTGAAAAAGTCCAAAGCAATGTGAACGTAAAAGGAACGTGAAGAGATGAAGAGAGATGGAGAGAGAGAAAGAAAAAAATCCGTCGCAGAAAAATGAGCATTTTTCTTCGTACACATAAACAGAGAGAGACGCAGGCACAAACGCAACTAAATCACCGTGCATTAATATTAACTTCCATAAGATGTTATAAATTAAATAAATTTATTCATTTTGCTCAAATTAAAAATAATAATAATAATAATCACCATAATTCTTAGCACCGTGGCCATTTTCATTGCCTGCATTGCTTTTCGGTTTGTTTTGCTGCTGCTGTTGCTTCTCTCTTCCTTCATTAGTTCAATGTTCAGTATCGTAACATCATCATCATTATTGCCATTATGATTTCTTTTTTGTGTTTGCTGTTGTTGTTTTTTTTTGTTTACTTATGCAGCAACGGACTATGTGTCCGTGCGACTGCATTCAGAGCAAACGAATGACTTTGGTATTTAATTTACTTCATTTTGCTCACAAAACTAATAAAATGCCATAAATGCGATGGCTGCTGCTGCAGTTGTTGTTGTTTTTGTTTTTGCCATTGCTATTGCAGTGAGAATGAGAAGAATCTCGGTAATAAACCTCCATCTAGTGCAGTGTAACCATTCAGAGCGGTCACTTCATGTGCTCTCTCACTTGTATGCACATTGCACACGTACCGTATTTTCTATGTCCGATTTGTTTGTGCACTCTTCGTTCTTTATTAGCTTTGCTGTAACAAGATGGACATGACGAAGACGTTTTTATTGTAAAAAAATGTCACAGAGTTATCGCTTTAATTTATTTGATTTCATGTGTTCAGTGTGTGATGATGGTGGTGATTGTGAGAGAGAACGTTCGTTTCATTCATTCATTTACTTATTCGTTATTTTTTTTTTTGCATGTTATTGACTTTTGTCCACTTTGTCGCATCCATCTTCGCCCATCATTATGAGCTGTTTCATTTCGACTGGTTGTGGTTATTGCGTTTTTTTCATTCCTGTTGCACGCACACAACGCACTTCATGACAGTCAATTACTGCACATATTTCTCATTTTGATTGGTGGCTGGTATGTAAATTGTGTGCTCCCGCTCAATTCTTGCCATTTTCTCACTCTCTCCAACTCTCGCTCGCTCAGTCGTTCAATCACATTCAGTTTTCCGTCTCGCCTCGTCTATGACCAGTTGAATTGATCAAACCATAACTAGCATATAAATTACTGTACTTTGACATTTTTATTTTCGCTCATTTTGTGAGGTCAGTATGATCATTCAATTCGGAATGCACAATTTATGCAGACACAAGAATCAAGACTCATTGCGTACGTTCGACGTTCACACGATTGGCATTCATACAATTGCATAAATCATTCATTTTGCATGGCTGACCCATCGATTGATCGTCGATAAATTTTCCTCTCCTTCGATCACCGCACAGACATTTACGCGAACTCACATCGCTGTTGTTGTTTTTTCGTTCATTTTTCGATCTTGTATTTTTGAATTGCTTTCGCATTCATTTTCACAATAATTGCACAATAACACAATAAAAGCCACACCAGAGACTGAAGGGGAAAAAAGAACAAATCATCTAACTAAATACAAATCATGGTGTAAGACAGACAGACATATTACACACCCAATTTGAACAATATTTAGCCACACAAGGAATGATGAAAAACAACATCGAATTTACATGAATGCAAAACATACCGACTCTGGGCCGGTACGAAGAAAAGCGTCGATGAGAACAAGAAAAAAGCACTATATAATTAAAAATGTATTTATAAATGCGGTCTAGATGTTATTTGATACGCCCGATTTGTACGGGCAAAATGCATAACATCAACGAAATTTTTTTTCTTCAAGCAATAACTCAGAAAACACTCCATGCCAGTTGTGCGACGACGACCGTCGTTCAAGTGTGTGAGTGCCGGCACATTAATTTCAGAAAGGAAAAAAGAATAAATTTGCTGTTCATTTTCATCGATATATTCTGTGTGCTCTTTGATTTGAATGTAATCCATTGGGATTGTTGTTACGTCTCTGAATTTTTTTGCATTTTTGGATGGAGTTGGAAAAGAATATGCAGTGGAAACAAAAAAAAAATTGTTGCGAACAGAATGAATGGCGACCGACTGAAAATAAACGAATCTAAATGAATATGAGCGATATGCATCGACAGTGAAATTTATTGCAATAAAATCGGTTTCTTTATTTCTTCGGAAATCGGCAACAACCGGCTTCACCCATTCTATTCTCGCCACGTGTACTTAGAAACATTTCGCGAGGGAGAGAGAGAGAGAGAACGAGAGAGACTGAAAAAATATGCTCATGCTTGCGCAAGGGAAAGTATAGAGTTAGGCAGCCAGAACAACAATAATGGCAGCAGAAAAATGAAAATGAAATATTATGCTTGATTTATATTACTTCATTTTCACTTTAACTCGCAAGACGTAACTTTGTATGCGGCAAGTAGGTCGTGTCGCGCTACACAAGAAGCACTGCTACGTTCATACATATTCGCATTGGCCCGACTTTCTGCACACACACACATTTGCCATCGTACACACGGTGTGTTTGCAACAGAAACAGAAACCGAGTGAAAAAAGCGTGTGCTCAAGTCCTGCATAAAAGTTAGGCGTTGAGCTACGAACTGAAATATATACATGCATCACACAGTCGATCATCTCTCGCTCTCTCATTCGGTGCACTAAAGTGCACAGACCGCCAGCAAGGTGGCAATGGAAATGTGCATGAAGAAAAATTGGCCCAACTTATTTATGAATGTTTCTTCGATTTCTTCTGTTTCGCTTTCCGGCGTTACTCATCTCTCTGTCCGATTCTGCCGCAGAAATGTTACACGAATTAGACGGTGGATGTTTGCAATAGGTTGGACCGATAAATTAAGCTTTATTATGCCTCACAACTCCGTTTCAGTCGAAATTAAAACGCGCCTCTGTCTCGATTGGTCAGCACAATTCCAACAACAATGAGAATTTCTCGTCGAGAAATCATTCATTCTGTCTACGTCCTTTATCAAGTCGCCTTCGATTTCGAGTGATTCGCAACAGCTTCGGATTGAATTTGTCTTCAAATCTATACATATTTGCGTGTAACTGAAATTCCGACCAATTGATTATTATTGTGTACATTAAGCATATTGATTGATCGATTACTGAACACTGATGCTTGTTAATTGGACTGTTAATTAACAACTTTCAGACCT